CAAACAAACAAGCCATCGTGGATTTTAAACGTTGAATCTAAGAAGTGACTCGCTATCAAACGTTTGTGTGCTTTAGGATTATAAAATCAGATGCTGTCTTTACAACACTGGTTGCCGTGGTAACGTGTGATCTGTTCAGCTAATCTACCGTTTGCTTCAGGAGACTAGTGATGCAGGAACACGGTGAGCGTTCAGAGCGTTACTTCTGACACACCAAACACATTTGCCTTCGATTAAAGTTTTACTTCTTCTCTTTATCAGATATCAGAGGTGCTGTTATGTGATCAGTGTTGTCTCCTGAGTCACGGTGACTCGGCGAATAAAAAAGCGAAACAGAGATGACCTCGGCCAGCGAGAGAGGAGGAGAAAACGAGGAAGATTCACATTTCTCCTTTTTCCTCTCGGACATGCCGATGAGCTTCGACAGATGACGAAGAATTTGTTTCTTTGCCCAAAATGTCACTTTGCAAACGTTTCACTCAAGTGCACGTAGCAAATAAATATAAAGCCTGATCAGATTTAGAGAAAACTAAACGTTTCTCGTCTTATAAAGTAAAAAGTGGCAAATTTAGGAACTTTGATGAATATTTCTAGTTCTTTCTTTAGAAGATTATATAATTAATCCTGCATCAGCCGGGTTAACCATAACATCAAAGCTCATCTGTTTTTTTTTAATTTAGCATCCTTCTGATGCTTACATGCAGTCTCACCAGATTTTTACTCTAATTTCTGCAAATCAAACCCAGCATACCATAAAATAATGTTTTTCTTCACAGTCAGGGAATAAATCTCCCCATCCATCCATTACAGACACACCCAGAGCTTTATCGATCGCTCTCCAAATGTCTCCTAAATCCTCGGGGAACGATCTGATGTGCAAAGAAAGGAACGAAGAATTTAATAAAAAGACAATAAAAATATGTTTAGATGGTTTTAAGCATGAATGAATTTTCCAAAGTGATGTAATTATTAACGTTTCTCTGAGGAGGTCATCAGGAGTCGCCGCTCCCAACCACAACAACAATTACCGCTCAGACATTACCCATAATGCCTCTAGAGCAGGGGTGTCAAAGATGCGGCCCGCGGGCCGGATGAGGCCCGCAAGCGGGTTAAATCTGGCCCGAGAGGTGGTTGTGAAAACTTTATTTTCATACTTTACAATGTAGAGAGAAAATACACTTATCTTTGTGAGCAAGCTTTCTCTGTAATCATTATAAATAAAACAAAGCTGCGCTCAAGGCTCACACAAGAACTTGAATCACATCCTGAAGTTGGCCGCCACTCAGGATGTGACTTCTGCTTTTGATGTGCTGGTGAAAGCTAAAAGATGTAAAGTAAAATGAGTCAAATATACTTTAAGTGCTGCATGAAACTGATCTTGCCATGTGATCTGTAAGCTCTTTGAATCACTAAGGAATTTTTATTTATTGATTGATTTTTTATTTTTTTCAAATTTTCAGGAACACTTCAGGTGTTGTACTTGTACTACACTGTCCTCAGGCTCCAGCCTTGTTTCATATTGATTGTATTAAAACAAAGAAAACAATCTGAAGTTTTTTTTTTATTTACCAGTCCGGCCCACTTGGGACTAGATTTCCCTCAATGTGGCCCTGAGCTAAAATGAGTTTGACAAACCTGCTCTAGAGCAACCAGCACTGACGTGTTTTTACTATTTAACCCCAAAAAGCAACAAAAATATATACTGTTTGCATTTTTTATTCTTTTATCACACAACTTTGAATGTAATGTAAATTATTAGTAATATTCATAGATAATTTGATGTAATGAAGTTTCATTCTAACATCTTTTTAGAATTATTTTAGTTATTTTTCTAGTTACATTCAGAGCTTGTTTCATTAGTATAAAGAAACTAAAACATGTTCCACGTCCGTATGAATCCCCTGATCCAGACTCAGCACGTTGGTGCGGACTAATTCCTGCTAGCATAATGTGTTGGTGTGGGCTAACTCCTGCTAGCATAGTGTGTTGGTGCTGGCTAACTCCTGCTAGCATAATGTGTTGGTGCGGACTAACTCCTGCTAGCATTCTGATTTAACACAAGCCATGCCTCATCCTGCGCGTGCGCACACAAATAGCCATGTAGCGCTAAAACGAATGTTTCCAACATGTTCCTGGTCAGACACAGCTGAATGATTTCTCAGCCTTCATCGGGTTTTGCAGGAGCTCCTAATCCGTCATTTTAATCAAATCTGCAGAGTTCAAGCAGGAAAACACCTGAAAAGGGCAGGAGTCGGCACTCAGAATGCTAGCACTTCCATGCTAACGGTACAACAGGCTAATATTTTTTCCCCTCCCGCCTCATCTCCAGTTAGCTTGAAGTTTGTTGACATTATGTTTATGTATTCATGTATTTATTTACATTAATCCAATGCAGATTGAGTTAGCTTTCACGCTAGGTTTTTGTGCTAAACTGATTCTTGTAAATGATTGGTTCTGCTGTAGAGGCCGAGGGAAGGACTAGGATGAACGTTGGTTACGTATTGTAACCCCTAGATTCTATGAGTCTAGTCGCAGCCCTTAAGCTAGCTGCTATTGCTATTAGAAGGGTGATTTCAGCATCAGCCAGTCATGCAGAGCTTAAATGTATGCCCACCAATGGTGGTCCTGTTTCCCCAGCGGGAGCAGCCCTGTGTGGCGCTCAGCCAGCTGTATCCACAGGAGGGAGGGAGATCTTGGGAGGAGCGCAGAGCACATTTGAGTTCCTGCAGGTTGATGACCTCGCTAGGCAGAAGTCCACAATCTGAAGGCGGGGGGTGGGGGTGGGGTGGGGGGGGTGGGGGTAGGACGGGTTTTCACAGCATCTGTCTGCATTCCTTCCTTCGTGGGGGTTGTTAGCAGCTCAAGGCTGCCTTGGCGTCAGATTTGGATAACAAGACTTTGTTTGGGTCAGGCAGAGATACTTTCCCTCTCTGCCTTTAAGTCTGTATTAATCATTCAAGTCCTCCAGTGAAGCCAATTTAGGTTCTAATCATCCCCACACCATCCGGTGACCCTCTCCGAGATGACATCCATTTTGTGCACTAATACCGGTAACACAGCAAGGACATTGTCCAGCTTACGATTCACCTTAAGGTAGCGCGACTCATGTTGCGAAGGACCACAGTCACCAATTCTTGTTATGTGTCTTGCCCATGTATGTCTGATCTCTGAATTGTGTGTACTGAAACTCAATTTCATTTCTCTGTATGTCTTGCACATGTGGTAGAAGTGACAATAAAATGACTTTGACTTGACTTGACTTTGACCTCGAGTAATGTCCCACTCTGTGAGGTCACCGCCCGGGCGGTGCTTTCCGTGGGTGCGGGTCGCACTCCAATCGCTCCTGTCTTCCCAAATGTCCAGAAAACCAGATATCCTCCCACTCCAATCAGAAGAAATCCAGTGATCATCAAGCCAAATATCCACATGTCTTCGACATCCTCAGTGGACAGCTGAGAGAGACATACGATCCTCCAGACCTTCCAGGAATCGAGCGCATATCCCGCTGCGTGTGTCCCTTGAGGGCAAATGGGAGCCCCCTCCTCCGTTCTCATCGTAGAAAAGATCTTATCAATCACGTTGAATGACCAATTAATTAAATCCATTTCCAAAAAATAGGGATTTCCAGAAGAAATACAGAGAAGCGCTCTGTAGGCAGACAGGACAAAGAGCCTTGGGAAAAAAGATAAGGGAGCAAAAGCAGAAGCGTCTGTACTCTGCGAGTGCCGGAAGATTTAGGTGATCCTGTGTGATGGAACAAAACAAGGAAGGCTGTTGTTGGTTTAGCGTCCAGGAAACAGCAGAGAACGTCTCAGCTAGTAGAAGCTAACTGTTAGCATTAGCACCTCCACCTCATGGCAGAACTCCTCCAGGCTTGCGTTTTCTGTGGAGATAAAACATCAACATTGCAAGTCAGTGGTTGAGTCACATTTGCTGTTATCCAGTCCGAGGTGAGATGTCCAAATATCAGGAAATAAGACTCCAAAACCTGCTCTGCTCAGCTGTGATGTCGCTCACTTCTAGTTCCTGGAAATGGTGCACTGGTGCTTTGTGCCCCCAGAGTACGACTTACAGATCATTCGTTCCTGCTAGAGACCACTAAAACGTATTGATTAAACAACCTTTAAACTACGAATCCCAGCTTTAGTTCAACCCCTGATGAAGTAATATTATTGTATTAAGTAGTGGTATTAATATTAAGACATGGTAATTGTGTTAATTTTTGTTCTCCAACATTCCCATTTATTTATTTATTTATTTATGTATTTATTTATTTAGTCAGTTTTCTATGTTTTCATAAAGAAATTCAGCTCGTGCTTTAAGAAGACAGAATGTGGGCTTCCTGTCTGTTGATATCTTTCTACAGCTTATTCTTCCATCAAACTACTTTTTTTTTTTAGCAAAAGCTGAATATTTCAGTGCCTGAAACGGTTTGATGCTCAGAAAAAGATGAAAAACGACAGTTCTCGTTCTTGGGATATTAAAATCCATCCCTGCTGGTTCTTCCTTCCATCCTGGATTGGTCCCGATGCGCCACCGCCCCTCGGGCTAAACCGCAGCACAGCCTATATCTCCTCCTGTTGTTGGTGTTTATATGAAGAGCGGCGGATTACCTGAGGCTCGGCTACACCTCTGCTGCCTCACAGGGCAGCAGCCGTTCCTGCCCCATCAGCAACGAGTCGCTTTAACTCCGAAACATCAGCACACACCCAGTGGCCTGATATTCACACAAATCCCTCGAGGTGAATTATTTATGAAAAGGAAAAGAATTAAAAAGATGTTCAGTAAGCGCGACCGTCATTGATCCCTGAAACAGGAGAGAGCTTGTTTTTGTGAATGCACTCAGAAAACAACTCAAATGAACCATTTGTTGGCTGAAGCTTGTTTGTTTGGAGCTGTTTCTGGAAGGACGCGGTCTGGTGGTGTTGTTGATGATTAAATAATAGCTGATTTGTTCCTGAAGCAGCAGGTTGACCCCGTCTCTCTCTCTCTTCCTGCAGAATAAACAGGTAACAGGTTATCTCCTGTTCTCGTTGGGCACGGCGGTCATCGGCTCTCTGCAGTTCGGCTACAACACAGGAGTCATCAACGCTCCGGAGCAGGTTGGTGAAAATCAGCACAAATCAGGAATGGATCGACTTCTGGTAGAAAAATATGTAATTCAAACCAAACGCCTGAAAACAAAAGTCAGCTGTGTTCTTTCCTTTTGAAATCTGAGCTGCATTTTGAAGTTTAATTTAATTTAACAATATTGGACATGCATGGATTAATAATAATAATAATACATTTTAATTCAACAGCGCCTTTCTAAACACTCAAGGACACTTTACAGACAGAGATAAAATACACAACAATAAAAGACAGAACAGCATAAAACAAACAGATTGGAGCAAAGAGAGTAATTATTGCAATGCTAGACGGAACCGGTGGGTTTTGAGTCTGGTTTTAAAGAGAGTGAGGGAGTCAATGTTACGGAGGTCAGGAGGGAGTGAGTTCCAGAGCTGGGGAGCAGAGCGAATGAAGGCCCTGCTCCCCGTGGTGACCAGATGGAGAGGTGGGACAGAGAGGTGGAGGAAGGAGGAGGACCTGAGGGAACGGGTGGAGGTTGAGGGATGAAGGAGGTCCGAGAGGTACGGGGGAGCTAGGTTATGGATGGCTTTGAATGTACATAGGAGATTTTTGAATTGGATTCTGGAAGTGACCGGGAGCCAGTGGAGCTGCTGAAGAACAGGAGTGATGTGGTGGAAGGTGGGAGTTCTGGTAATGATGCGGGCTGCCGAGTTCTGGAGACGTTGGAGTTTATGGAGGGATTTGTGAGGAAGACCGAAGAGAAGAGAGTTGCAGTAGTCAACACGGGAAGTGATGAGGCTGTGGACAAGGATGGCGACCGCGTGACTCATTAGTCCAAACTGAAACACTGAAAGCTTCATTTGGTTTAAAATCATCCATTCCTCTCATCACGACTTTCAGAAGCTTCGATCTTTCTTCAACGACACCTGGATGGAGCGCTACGGTGAGCCCATCAGTCCGGGGATCTGCACCATCGTCTGGAGCTTTGCTGTGTCTGTCTTCAGCGTGGGCGGCATGGTGGGCTCCTTCAGTGTGGGCGTCATGGCCGACAGGTTTGGCAGGTAGGAAGTGAAATAAATGCATCTCTTCATACATTTTATTCACATATTGAACAAAAGGACACATAAATGTTCTGTTGTTGCACATTTTATTCTGATTCCCTCCAAAAGAAGCTAACGCTAGTTAGCTCTGATCCTTCTCACTCCTCCTCAGACGACGCTCCATGTTCCTGGTGAACGTTCTGGCCGTGATCGGAGGCCTCCTCATGGGCTTCTCCACCATGTGCTCCTCCTATGAGATGGTGATCGCCGGCCGCCTGGTCATCGGCTTGTTCTGCGGTCTCTTTACGGGTCTGACTCCCATGTATGTGGGCGAGGTGTCACCCACACCGCTACGCGGGGCGTTCGGCACGCTGCACCAGCTGGGTGTGGTGGTGGGCATCCTGATCGCTCAGGTCAGATTATCAATAATTATCATTAAGAACCTTACATGGTTACTCTAACAGATCTAATCTCTGCTGCTGCCTCTTCTTGGTGTTAGATCTTCGGTTTGGAGGCTCTGTTGGGCTCTGACAAGCTGTGGCCGCTGCTGCTGGCCCTCACGGTGGCTCCTGCTGTGCTGCAGTGCATACTGCTGCCTTTCTGCCCAGAGAGCCCCCGCTTCCTTCTGATCAACCTGAAGCAAGAGGAGCAGGCATGCAAAGGTAGGTCCGTCTAGAGCTTCAGCTCCTGCTGAGTGAAAAGTTCTGCAGAAGCAGAGAAACACCAGAGAGCAGATTTGGGAGGAGAGTTTAACTGTCTGGACCGGTTTTTGTGGAGGAAAATGTCCTCTTGAGGAGCGGTGAGACGTTTGTCCTGCCGGATCCTGTGTGTTGATGGTCACAGTTATTATAAATGTTTGCTTTGTTCTGTAAAGATCAAGAAAGACCGTAAATTATCTTTATTATCACCAACAAAGAGCTTTTATTTATTTATTACCTGTTGATGTTCTGGTCCACATTTCAGTCCCTATGTAATAACAACAACAAAATCCTCCACCACCACCATCATCGTTTTAAACAAAGAATTATTTAGTGTATAATATTAATACAACTACTATATTATCAGTTTTATTTTATTGTGTAATTCTACAGCAAAATAATAAAAAATCAATAGAATTGACCCTTTCCACCTTTAGATCCTCCAGCAGGGGGCACTAGACATGGTTAATGGTCTATATTTGATATAGCCCATTTCACACCCTGGTGGTGATGAGCTACAACATAGCTACAGCTGCCCTGGGGTGCACTGGCAGAAGTACAATACCCACGTCGCCCTCCTACTGGTTAAAGCGGAACCGCAACTGCTGTTAACGACCTTGCTGCAGCCTGCTGTAGCTGGTGCTAACAATGAGCTAATGCTAACGCAAGCCAACTAATACTGAAATTAATCACAAAGTAAAAAGATCCACACTGTTGGACAAAAAATATTATTACTTACAAGTCAAGTAGCAACAAAGCCAGGTCACCATCAGTCCGTGATTCAGCTCCCTCAGACGCACCATGCTGATGTTCACTCTGCTTTTAGGTTTTTTCTTTAACTCCAAAGACGTCACTCAAACTTTTACTTCCAGGCTCCGCCATGATGCCAACAAAAGGATCTAAATTCTTCTTGACGCTCGGCTAACTGCTAGCCTTTTATTAGCTACCTGCACAGTGAACAGCTAACAGTCTCAAAGCAGGTCCCATGTGGAGCTGCTCAGGTTTCTGACTGAAGAACCACTGAAACCAGTTGCTTTGAGGGCAGAAGTGGTTCTTTGAGGGTTTGTGATGTTCATCTCCTTTATTTTTTGCAAAAATCTCTTTTACAGTTTTGACAAACTAGTGCTAGTTTGTTTTAAGTTTGAATTTTAAAAAGCCCTGCAGCATCTGCAGCGTTTTCCTCCGATTGCACGATTTTCACAAACATTTCTGAACCCATCCTGTCCGGATTCTCGCCGCCAGCGCTGGTTCGTCTGCGCGGCACCGAGGACGTGAGCAAAGACCTGCAGGAGATGAAGGAGGAGAGCGCCAAGATGGCGCAGGAGAAGAAGGTGACCATCGCCGAGCTGTTCCGCTCGGCGCTCTACAGGCAGCCGCTGCTCGTCGCCATCATGCTGCAGCTCTCCCAGCAGCTCTCCGGCATCAACGCCGTGAGTCCGAGTTCAAAATAAAAGCGTGATTATTTTAAAAGCTGCTGCAACAAATCATCTTTTCTTCATTTCTTATCTTCTTTCCGCGTCTCTCAGGTGTTTTATTACTCCACTGGAATCTTTGCTTCAGCAGGAGTGCAGCAGCCCATCTACGCCACCATCGGCGCCGGCATCGTCAACACCATCTTCACCGTTGTTTCTGTGAGTCACGCGGCTGCGCGCGTCTGACTTCCTGTGTGTTTGAGAGCCTCCGGCAGCGGCTCACTTCCTGTCCTCTCTCCCTTTCCTGCAGCTCTTCCTGGTTGAAAAGGCGGGGCGGAGGACTCTACACCTCCTGGGATTGGGTGGAATGGCTGTCGCCGCTCTGCTCATGACCATCTCCCTCCTGCTGGTGAGTCCGGCTAAGATCAGCAGTCGTTTTAGGATCTGCATTTAGCTTTGCCTGCAGATGAGAGGGTCAAAACCGCCGTCAGTCAGATTTGTGTCAGGTTTTAGTTTGGGTAAAAATCATTTTCTGCAGGAAAATGTTTGAAAGTTGACTTAAGTATTATTCACATTTTCTCCAGACTTTGCATAATGATTTGTTTTGAATGTAAAAAAATGCTCAATCCTAATCCCAACCCCGTCTGGTTGTCATGTCCTCCCGTGGGAGCAGACTCACATCCCAGCTATGAGCTACGTGGCGATTCTGGCCGTCATGCTCTTTGTGGCCATGTTTGAGATGGGCCCCGGGCCAATCCCGTGGTTCATCGTGGCGGAGCTCTTCTCCCAGGGGCCTCGTCCTGCGGCCATGGCGGTGGCCGGCTGCTGCAACTGGACCGCCAACTTCCTGGTTGGAATGACCTTTCCAAAACTAGCGGTAAGGGGGCGGGGCTATTGTGCTGGTTTGGGTCTTCTTCTTAAAGCATGCTGGCTCAACTTAGTTTTACTGAAATCTTTGTGCAGAAGTTTAGACTCATTCCTGATTTCTTCACTTCCTGTGGATCCGGAAATTCTTTTAATCCTTTCATTTGGATGTGTGTTGTTTTTTTCACACTCCGGTCTCTGACTGGGATTATCCAGTTTGAGCTGTAAAAGACAAAAGCAAAGTGTACGAGTAAAATTAGACGTGTTGGGCCTGTAAACGTGATCTACGGTGGCTCTGACGGGTCAGAAAGTCACTTTTAGTGCGTTTTGAAGACGATCATCACTCCGTTAGCTGATAAACACAATTTTTCTGTGTGGCGGATGTTTTTCTGTTCGGTTTCCGCACAAATCTGGTAAATGTCGTGAGTTTTGGAACCTTTTTATGCCTGAATGATGCAAAAGTCTGAGTTAAAAATCCAAATAAATAACCCGACAGTCGGAACGGAGCAGAAAGTAAAAATGGAGCCAAAGTTTAGAGGAAGCGTGAAGAAACTAGTGATGGGAATTCCGGCTTCTTTTAGAGAGCCGGTTCTTTTGGCTCAGCTCACCAAAAAGAGCCGGCTCTTTCGGCTCCCAAGTGGCTCCTCAGATTTTCTGTTGCGTAGAGTACATTTATAACCAAAATAATGCAGAACTATATGTAAAATAATTTAGTAATGTAAAAAAAAAGCAATATATCAAATATTTATCATTTCTATGGATTTAATAACTGAATACTTTAAGAAATCTCCACTTTCCGACGGCTGGCGCTCATTTTCTCACCGTCTTCGTCGCACTCTCCTCTCTCTCGCTCGCCTTTTCCCTCCTCCTCATTCCCTCTCGTCTCCCTCCGCCCACATGTGCTCTGCTGTGTGTCTGTCCGAGTCTGATCCTCCCTCTTCCCCGCCCCTACTGCTCTGTGAGTGGACAGTCTGGACACACAGTTACACATGTTGACCAATCACCTGTAGCTTTCACCAAAGCAAGAGGGGAGGGGGGAGGGGAGGGGACGGCTCCCAATGACGAGCCGGCTCCCGTCGTTCACTTCAAAGAGCCGGCTCTTAGAGCCGGTTCGTTCGCGACCGACACATCACTAGAAGAAACTTTGTAAAGAAAGCATGAAAGTCGGGGAAAGGGAGTCAGACCGGTGCGTGTTTCTGGAGGATTTTAATGTTTGGTTTAATTTAATGAGTTTTCTTGCTTCAGCTCACAGATTTTCCAAATATTCCCAAGTATGCACTTTCAGAATTGTCCTTTCTGATTCCCTAAAGGATGGATGATGTAGTTCCTTAATGAAAGGATGAGAGACCACGCAGTTCTGATTGAGCGGATTAGCTACTCTGTGGGATGAATCATGAGTTTCTGTGTTTGGGAGAACTTTGGGAGCATCAGGATTCTTCTCTCCTCTCTCCAGGATTTGTGCGGGCCTTGGGTGTTCCTCATCTTCTTCGCTTTCCTCATCCTCTTCTTCATCTTCACGTTCTTCAAAGTCCCCGAGACGAGGGGGAAGACGTTTGACGAGATCGCCCGCGGCTTCAGCAGCGCTCCACCTCCCTCCGCCTCCTCGGCCGAGGACCCTCCCGTCACTCCCAGCACTGCCGTGACTCTTCCAGCCTCTCCGGAGAAGGAGAAAGTCCCTCTGGTGGCGGCCGCTAAGCCAGCCGCTCCCGCTCCGCCGGCCGAAACTACACCGCTCACGGATAAACCCGTCGATACGGGAGAGAACGTAGAGCAGGTGTAGATGAGTTCCTCACAGGTGAGAGAGATTATAAAAGAAGGAAGAGTCAAAAACAAGAATTCCCAACACTTCCCTCTTTTAAAAGTCTCTGATACTCTGCACATTCCGAAGGATTCATCCAGTCACGTCTCCTGTCAGGGTGACTCACTCTTCCGAAGCCGGGTTCAGTTCACGGTCCGGCTGATCAGTTCATCACTGCAGCTTAGAAACGGGGTCGACGAGAGCCGGGATTTTAGGAATTCTTTTGCAGGAGTTTCCATTCGTTGAGTTGACGAGACATCGCGGACGATCCACGTTTTCACTAACAGGAATACAAAACTTTGAATGATTCCTTTTTTTGGAGGTGTTTTAGAATCTGCACTCAGCTTTTTACCCGCAGCACCTGGTGCAGAAGCGTCGCCTTGGAAACGGTTAAACTCCGCCTGCCGGATTAACAGATTACTCCACCTTGAAAGTTCTAATAGTAAATCTCACTTCTAACACCGTAATCCACAAATTTACCTTCATTTACCTGGAATTCAGCATCACTTCTGGTGATGAATCAATGAATTAGTGATCTCTTCTGAGTTTCTGAGCTGACACAAATTCCTTTGTAATGGATTATTAACATTTCTCTACACATATACTAATATTTGATCAGCTTCAAAATGTCTTCGTTTCAAAAATCTACTAAGAAATCTTAGAAAAGTATTAAAATCTGGTCGAGTTTTCCGATTTTTAGGACCATTCGTAGCTTTACACAGAGACCATAGTGATGTAACACGTAGGTTATATTTTTGGTTAAAGAGAAGATTATTATTATATTAGAAATATATTTCATGTATAGTAAAGAGTTATAAAGTAAATTCAGACGTTTTAACGCCGTGCAGATCGACCCAAAGGTGTAAAAGCCAGTCTGATGGGACCTTTTTGTGCAATTTAAGGTTTTAATGACCCGAATCAGCTTAAAACAGCTTGGATAGTTTATTCCAACTGCTTCGGCAGGTCGGAGCTGATATCTGCAGGTCTGCTGAGTGATGTCAGAGCTCTCTTCTGACCAAGCTGTGAGCAAACCAGATAAAAGTTGTATAAAACGTGCAATCAGAGCGGGATCTGCAGCCATGACGGGGGGAGGCGGCTAAACGTCCAGCAGCGAACACAGCAGGGTTGTTGTAAATAATCAGTTTGGTTTAGTGGTTTTATTCAGAGAGGGGTTTGAATAAAAAGACCAATTCAGGTATTAACTCTGAACCCTTCTCTAGTGTTTATTTATTTATTTATTTTTTTTTACAGTGTGGGGACTTGACCTTTACTTTTAAGCATAAATGAAACCTTCAGGTCTTTGTTTTTGTCAGAAAGCTGCAAATCAGCTCAAAACTTCCTTTTTTATTCTTTCAGACAAAATTTATTATACAGGAAAAACATTTAAATGCTTTAAATTCAGCTTCTAATGTTAAAAAGTATTTATCAAGAGAATAGAATAAAATTATTGTATGAAGATAGAAAAGTATGAATTATTTAGAATTTTATTTTCTACAGATCTGGTTTATTCTATTTTTTTTTAATTCATTTGATGTGTTTCAACCTGCTATAAATGATTTATAAAAACATGCCAAAAAATCATAATTATAACAAGAAAATAAAATGATGAAATTTGACCTATAAGAAAATAATTTATAGCTTCTCCCTTATTGGATTTGTTTACTCTTATTAATAAAGTCCAAATTCACTCAGCATATCAGTTTTATTATTCTGGGGTTGCATTCTAAATACAAGTACTTCAATAAATATGATTAAATTTATAAATATGTTCCAACCTGAGGGTTCTCCGTCTCTCCTGTCTGATTTTCAGCTTTACTCGATGCTGCCAGCGCAGTTACTAACGTATATGTGTGTGTGTGTGTGTGTGTGTGTGTGTATGTGTGTATGTGTGTGTGTGTGTGTGTGTGTGTGTGTGTGTGTGTGTGTGACACAGATTATATTTTCTCTAAGCTGTAGTGAGGATCGCTGTAGATAAAGCTGCCCACAAAGCGCACATTTATTCATTCCTCTACACTGTAAAAAAGGAAAAAGTTGAATATACTTAACCAGGTTATGTCAACTGGCTCCACTAAGTTTAGCTGTTTAATTATGAAAAGTAATAAATATTAGTTTTTGAAGGGCAGATTCACTGAGAAACTGAGGGAAGATGTCCAAATGTCAGGAAATAAAACTCCAACTCCTGCGCTCTTCCGCCACTTTCTTCTCCGGCTGAATTCTGTCCTCAGACAGGCGCACCGGAGCTTTTCCCCACAGAACAACTTACAAGGCATTCATTCCTGCTAGAGACCACTGCAAGTGTATTAAAAGTGTGAGCCTCTGACGTGTGTTCCCGTGTTTGTGGATGATGGTGTTGTGTTTGTACTCAGGGAGGTTTGCCCCCTCTTTGATCATGTTTGACGTTGTTGTATTCGTCGATCGGCTGCTTCTGTCTGTGGTTTCTCACGCGCTGCTCCTTGTTGTTTTGCACTAGTTCCTGTGTCACCTATGCATTTCTGCAACACACCTGTCAGAAATGCCTTTTTTGTGATCTCACAAAGCCAGATACCTCTGAGAAAGGTGCTTGTTGTTGGTTTAAGAAGGTCATGAAAGAACATTTAGATTTGATGCGGTTAGAGATGTTTGAAAGGATCCTTAAAGACAAAGAGTTTTTGGTTTCTTCCTGATAATAAAGCCAAATCTATCATTTCCTGAACTTGGTAAAACTGCCTCGTTGCTAGAGATTCAAGGATAGCTGAATTTTCCCTATCCAGCGTTCCTTCTGGTTATGTTGAGATTACGTTTGTTAATCCAGAATTGAGGAAAAGCATCTAGAAGATCCTGGAAGTAAAAAATAATTCACTTGTAAAAATGTCACTTTGGAAAGCATTCTAGTGATGTGTTTGTTTTTCTTTTGATGCACACTTCCATTTTATTTCTCTTTAAATAATCATTTAACCACAAAGCGTGTTGTTTGTTTTTAGGTCACTGCACTCTAAAAGTAAACTGTTGAATTTACTCAAATAAGTTGTGTTAACTTGTCCCACTAAACCTAGTAGCTAAAATGTAAAGACTAATGTACATTTACTTTAAACATGAAAACACGTAGCAGCGTTTTATTACTCTTATGAACTAAATTTAACATTTCTTTTTTAGAGTGTAGATTCAACCCCGTTTCTGTCAGGATTGAGTTTTGACAGCGAAAAATTAGCAGTTTTTTTTAATCCTAAAATAAATGTGTTCCTTCATTTCTAAAAGGTGTCATTATGATTGGTTAGAAAGTCACAGACGCTTATTAAAACTGTATTTTATTGGTTCTGTGGTACTGGATATTTGCATATTTCACAGCAAATGTCCAAACTACCGTGTGTTCAATGAGTGGCTCCGAGTTGATTCTTACAGATTTGATTGCAACTCAGCAGAATCATTGCTGCGATCTTAATTCTGTGTGTTTCTGGCCCTGACTACTGTGTTTTTGTGTAAATATTCATGTAATGTGAGTTTTTGGTGGCTTTCTGTGCTTCCAGTGTGTTTGGACCGTTATATGGTGTCTGATTTGATATGAGATGTTTCAGGAATCACTCCTTTCTTCAGCGGCTCCTAAACTCAACCCAAACAGCAACTTCAGGATTTTAACATGAATCCATCCACGTGGAGAGCTGCACAGTTTATTCGTTTTAAATACTTGATGCACAGAAAGAACAGCGACAGGAGTAATACTCGACACATTAAAGCCAACATCTGGCGGCTCGGTGATCGTGCAGCAGGTGATTTAGTGCGAATATTTAAGCTTTTAAACATTCCTGTCACCAGTGAAGCAGTCCAGCTGGTTTCTTTGTCCCGTCTTACTAGAAATGTAAAGTTGTTCAATAAAAATGGGATTAAAAGTTTTGGGATTGTGTTTTTCTTTCTCCCACATTCATACAAAACTAGGATCATCATCAGTGACGTTAATCAGAAAGACATTTTTGATGAGAAAAGTGTTTTCTAAGCCAGCAGAGTAATGAAATGAAAGTAGGTCCTCAAGTCTATGCCTATGGCTGCATAACTAAAGGGATGAGCCAGGATTACCCAAGGTCTAATATTATCGGTCTTCCATTGTTGCTGGCCTTTATTGGTGTAAAAATGTAAAATGGGAAAGGTTTGTTATAGGTTTTACTCTTAATAAGCCAACAATTACAGCCCATGGGAGGATGATATGGAAGCTACCAATGAACAAAAGCATTCCAAGTTCTCGGACCTGGTGAAGAGTTGTAAGGAAGGTGGCTGCAAAGCCATTCAAGGTCTTGGTTGGGTCCTCAACGATTTGCCTGCTCCGAGACATGGGATGTCCTGGAGCAGGATCTTGGAAAGCCATCATACAGCTGGCAGAAGAGGCTGAGAAGACGACGTTTGGCTCAGTGCGGTGTCCAGGGGCCTCGTTTATCAAGCTTGCTTACGCACAAAACTGGGTCGGAAAACTGCGTCAGCAACTTTCCACGCAAACTTTGGGATTTATGACAGAAAAGTTAGCGGGAAAATGTGCACAACTTTAAGTTGACTAAGGATCTGGCTTACGCACATGTTGGACATGGAGAGCACCTGCAGTGCTGCTGCTGAGAAGGATAAAATTATGAAATCCTGCAACATTATCACTTGTACTGCTTCGTTTTCACACAGAACAAGACCCCCCACATGCGCGCACACTCACACACACATACACACACACACACACACACAGCCTGAAGCACAGAATACGGAATGCAGAATATCAGCAGGGGGACAGATTGAGACAGAACATCATGCGTCTGTGACAGTGTGTGTCCTGTCATTGTGACCCGATTGATTGTGTGCCCTGCCTACTTGGACAGGGGAGATCTCTGTTTGGCTGACCGGTTAGCGCATGTGGCTTTCACCTGGGAGTCTGGGGATCTAATCCTTATTGGACCATTTTTTTTTATTTGCGCCACAGATCTCTCTGAAGAACTCACAACATTGACGGCTTCAGCAACACTGTGCCACTCCGTGGATTTTCTCTTATTTGTTTTGCAAAAGCACTTCCTTTCATTTCTCCACCTCACCCACAGGTACCTCAATTTCTGCTTGTGTGAAATTGCACTTCCTTGATCTTCCTTGATCTGCCTTGATCTACGGTCGCCATGTCATTGGCGGAGCGCTGCAACAGCCGGCTTATGTATATGCATGATGTCCACAAGGCACTTTGCATTGACTATTTATGGCAGTAAGTGGGCGTGGTGAGGGTGGGATGTGACTAAAATGCAGCTGAGAACCTTTCTAGATAGTTTCTGATTTATGAAGCGGAGATTGCGTGCAGCTGTGCACAACTCCATGTTTGATATATCACAAACCTACTTGGCCTAAACACATTTTTATGTGTGCGTGTGCGCGTGTGTGCATTTGGGGGGTCTTGTTCTGTGTGAAAACGAAGCAGTACAAGTGATAATGCTGCAGGATTTCGTAATTTTATCCTTCTCAGCAGCAGCACTGCAGGTGCTCTCCATGTCCAAAATGTGCGTAAGCCAGGTCCTTATTCAACTTAAAAGTTGCACACATTTTCGTTCATCAATCCCAAAGTTTGCGTGGAAAGTTGCTTATGCAGTTTTCCAACCTCGTTTTGTGAGTAAGCAAGCTTGATAAATGAGGCCCCTGACCATTATTGGAATGTTAACTGTGTGAAGTGCCTCGGACGTAACTTGTTTTTATCCTGGCTCCGTGTTCATGAGCCACAAAGATGGCTGTCCTTCACGTTCCGCATCAGCTGTGTGGCGATCTCTTCGGCTCTAACGACTCTCTGTGTCGCTCCAGTTTTCCATCTCAGCTGCTGCCGTTTAGAAAGGGGCTCCCAGTGTTTACTTGCTTTTAAATATTGTTGCTGGCAGCAGCCATTACACGTGTCATCGTGATCACGCTCTGTTGCAGGAAGGTGATCTTCATTCAGAAGTCCGGCATTGCAGAAATATTTATGTCAAACTTGGTGGCACAAATGGCGCGGTATTCTCGGCCCGCCATGCTGCCACGGTGAACATCGTGTTCCCCTGAAAGGAACTTCTGATAGGAACCACACATGCCTCCTTAAAATCCTGGATTTCACATGGAGCAATGAAGTGATGCTGAATGTGAAGAAGTCGCTGATCTGTCTCGTGACCCCGATCCCCCGCCCCCCTTCTCCTCCGTCATCGCGTCGCGCCGGAAGAGGCGGGGCAGTGAAGAAAAAAAAAGAAAGAAAAAGGAGGCGTTTCCCTCCGAACAACACATCAGCTGCAAATTTATGCAGAGCAGAGAAATCTGTGCCGCTGCTTCTGTTGCTGCAAAGGAGAAGAAGAAGAAGAAAAGAAGAAGAACCAGCACAGGGAACCGAACCGACCAGGAGGCCGCTCAGTCGCTCCGAGTCGACCTGCGGCGGGGAGCCGGTGAAGGAGGAGCCCGAGAAACCCCGAGCGGTGACGGTAAGCACCCACCGAGAGCCCCGTTAACGAGCCAGACGGCGGCGGCGGTGGCCAGCCTCCGGTGGATCTGGTATCAACCGGTCTGAAGCATGGAGGGCAGCTAGCTAAACGTTAGCCCTGTGTTTGAGTCTCAGGTGATTTTAGGAGCTAAAAGCAGGTTTTGTGTGTGTGTGTGTGTGTGTGTGTGTGTGTGTGTGTGTGTGTGTGTGTGTTAGAACAGGAGGAGGAGTAATAAAGATGCTGCCATAAAAGATGGATTATGATCACCTGTTTAATGGGTTATTCTGATCACCTGTCCTGTTCTGTAATGAAGCAGGAATATTTGGCCCAGTTTGTGTCTTAATGTCATTTCCTCGGTAGAAAAATAACTAAAGTAAAGATTCAGGTTCAGCAAAATGATCAGATTATCATTTGTGATGCACTTTTCTGCAGAATGCATAAAACGTACGTTTTTCTAATTTCATTATTTTTATGCAGATTTTTGTTAAAGTTTTTATGATCTAAAATCATTTGTGTCTGTTGATTGAAGAAGAGCTTTAGTTTGCAGACTGCATTCTTACAAATGCATTGGCAAGTGCCAACGTGCAGAAGCATCATCTCAGTTTTCTCTCCAATCAAACATGCTGTGCATGGTGGCGCGGTTGCCCCACAGCAAGGAAATCTCAGGTTTGAATCCCGGCTGTGTGGAGTTGGCATGTTCTCCCCATGCAGGCGTGATTTAAACATGCATGTTGGGTTAATCGTAAGCTGCTCCGTCAAAAGTTAGAGGAAAAATGTGCAGTAACAGAAGGTTTTTGGCTCTTTCTGCAAAGTAGAAGTGTCACAGATCTGTTTGAGTGATCTGCTGTCTCCTCGGCAGCCATGGAAACGGACGGTGAGCAAAACCAGCAGGGGGTTTCAACCAATGGGAGTGCAGCTTCTGGGACGAGCTCCCGCCCATCGCCCATGAATTCCATGTCTCTGTATGAAAGGCAAGCGGTGCAGGTAGGTGTGTGTTCGCTTCTGTAGGTATGACCTAAGATGGAGCTCTTAGTGAAGTCATGTAGCAAAAACAAAAGGTAAGATCTTGGTACCCAAAGGATGAAATGCTCACAGCGTCTCATTCAAAGGGTTGACTGAAACGTTCTTGCAGATGGAGATCAGAGGCGAGTACACTAGAGGATTGACTGATTTATTAAGCCCATACAGAGAAACCGTGCCATACTTTTGTGAAATTCGATCTGTCTCTCCGAGTTGCACATCCATGCCGAACGTGAAAAATTTCCAACGTCCATCGCCTGAATTAGTTGCAGAGAGGAAGTAGACAGAAAACGATCGGGTAAGAAAAGGCCGGTCTCTTCTGTCATTGGGAAAGTTAGTTTTCACGGCCCCGCCCACCATTGTTTGGGACTGCCCATGGGAAGAAGAGAGTAGGGGTGTCTCGTCTACTGGAACTTAAACGTTAGCAACTCCACAGCGTGACAGAAGAAGAAGAATAAAGAAGAAACTATCATTTCTATTGTGCCTCAAGATAAAAATCACGAGGCGCTTCACAAAAACAAAAAAATGTAAAAATATAAAAAAGAATTTAGAAAATAGTTCAAGAGCAAGTCACCCCCAAATGAACTGTTTTTGCTGATAAACTAAATAAACGAGTGTCTAATCGTGCTGCAGACATGTGTCGTCAATAATTTGGCGCTTCAGTGCATCTTAGTTAAAATTTAAATATTCTGCCTAAAACTGTCAGTGTTGTGTCGTTGTCAGGTAAAAACTCTGCACTGTATTTTAATTTAAATCTGCCACCGCTATTGGCTAAGAGGTATGCTATGATGTAAACAGGTACATTATGATGTCACAATGCTGTCGTGAGCCTGTGTGTGTGTGTGTGTTTGTTAGCGGCTCCGCGCTCTCGGTCTGCTAGGCAACAGCATTTGTTGCATTTTTCAAACATGAAGTGGGAGTGGAGTTAGACTCTGGTAGGGGGTGACTTGCTCTTTAAAAATTTATTCAAAATGAGCAAAAAATAGACAATTGTGATTAAAAACAAAATGTAAAGAAAGAGAGAGAGTGAGTAGGAAAGAGGGAAATCAGTGGATCCTGAGGAAGGTGGAATAGGTGGGGAGAGCAGAACAAGGAGAGGTGATGAAGGTCACACCAAAGCTTGAACAGGTGAGTCTTCAGCTGCTTTTTAAAGGAGACCACTGAGTCCACTGATCTCAGGCTCAGGGGGAGAGAGGTCCAGAGTCTGGGGGCCACACCAGCAGATGATCTGTCACCTTTGGTCTTTAGCCTGGTGCTGCACAACCAGTAGGCTTTGATCACTGGACCTCAGGGACCTGCTGGGGGTGTAGGGACTAAGAAGATCACCAATGTAAGATGGTGCTTGTCCATGTAAGGCCCTATAGACCAGAACCAGGATCTTGAAATGAACCCTGAAGTTGACTGGCAGCCAGTGAAGCTGGAGGAGAAGCGGGGTGATGTGGGTGTGTTTGGAGGACTTGGTCAGAAGCCGAGCACAGGCGTTCTGAACCACCTGTAGACGGTTCAGGGAGGTTCTGCTCAGACACGTGAAAAGAGAGTTACAGTAGTCTAAGCGTGAGGAGATGAAGGTGTGGAGAACTGTCTCAAGTTCAGAGCGGGACAGAATGGGACTCAGCTTAGCAACGTTCCTGAGATGGAAGAAGGAAGAGCGAACAAGAGAACTGACATGAGAATCCAGGGTGAGAGCTGGGTCAAAGGTCATGCCAAGATTCCTGACAGAAGGTTTGGTGTGAGAAGCAAGCTGACCAAGAGAGTCTCTGACTTTGGGAACCAGCTTGTCTGGGGCACAGATGAGGATCTCACCCCGGCTTTCCACAGGAGCCGTCAGCAGCACGTTACTGCTGCAGCACGTCATAGCTGCTGATAGGAACCGCTGTGGTCAACAGAACCTTTTCCACCGGAGCCGTCAGCAGCGCGAGTCGGTCGCGTCTCAGGAGCAGCATGTCGCGGCCTTTACGCGCCGGTTCTATTTTCTACGCGCGACGCCTCTGAAACGGGTCAAGTTCGACTTTTTTGGGGAAGGAAAGACAGGAAATCGGACACGGAAATGGAGAGAAGCTACCGAGATTTTCAGAATAAAGAACGTACTGCCTTCCGGTTGCTTTACTTTTAAAAAACGTTACTAACTGTGCGGCCCCGTGAGAAGTTATCACCTAGCTAGCGGTCTCCTTTGTTTTTCAGGTCCGTATTGGCGATTATAAAACGGACAGAACATAAAACACAAACCATGTTGCAATTTTCTCCTGCTTGTTGTTGTGTTTACTGACGACGTCACTCGTGTGACTTCGTGCTTGGTCGGTGACAGCTGCTCCCCTGCTGCTTCGCGTCGTGTGGGAAGGGCCAAGCAGCAGCTTACGCGAGCAAGACGTGCTGCTGCAGTAACGTGCTGCTGACGGCTCCCGTGGAAACCCGGGGTCAGTCTTATCTTCATTCAGCTGAAGAAAGCTCCCACCATCCAGGTTTTGATAACTTAAGCAGGTGTGTAACAGCTGCAGCTTAGACATCTCATGGGGCTTAAAGGAGATGTACAGTTGGATGTCATCTGCATAAAGATGGTAGGAGGTTCCTTTGAAGGAGCTCAGGATGTGCTGAAGAGGAAGCAGATAGAGGAGGAAGAGCAGAGGCCCCAGCACAGAACCTTGTGGGACACCATGGGTAAGAGAGGTGGTGGAGGACCTAAACTTGGAGACGACCACAGAAAAGGAGCTCTCAGAGAGATAAGAGGAGAACCACTCCAGAGCAGAAACATCTGTCCATGCTTTCGTTCTTTTTTAAACACAGAAACAGTTTTGTTTACCTGTTTGTAGCTACGGTTTCGCCAGCGTCAGCCTGAAGAAGCCGGCAGCTGTCGGCGAAACCGTAGCTACAAACAGGTAAACAAAACTGTTTCTGTGTTTAAAAAAGAACGAAATCATGGATTTACAAAGACACAGCAAGAACACACCTAAGATGTTCAAAGAGAAACGTCTGTGTTGCATTTCTTACCGTAGAAAGTCACATTGCTGTTAGCCAATCAGAGGTGAGATATTTGCATTTCATGAATAAGTATGAGTAAGTAAGATTTTATATCTGGTAGTTTTCTGCCCTCACTCCACCCACTAACTTCCTGAAACAGGAGCACCACAGCTTTTTTTCCCCTAAAAACGACTCATTCCAGTAGAGACCACTGATAACTTAATGAAAAAATTCAAACAACACCTTTAAATAATCGACTCATCAGCAGCCAAGTTGGATAATTATATTCATTGATGTAAAATGTACAATTGTCCAAAATTTGAAAATAATCCGTTTTATTTCGGCCATCTTGATTTTAAAAAAGGCCTCAACCCTCATCAGCGTGACCTGGAGCCAAAAACATTCACCATCGCTAATTTATCCGTTTTCTATTCTGTTGGAGCTAAGTCTTTATTTTCTACTTTCTATTTAAAGACCAGAAGACTTTTAAGGAGCCTACAGCAGCACACGTCACACTGTTCTGTGTGCCTGGAGATAAGAACCGATTTAAAACCTGCTTTTGGGTTTAATTCCTCTGATCTTAAAGCAGACAGCTTGGAGCACCAGTCATTGGACAAAAGAGCTTCTTTTGTTGATGGTTTATGAGTAAACTGATGGAGACAAGAGTGAATATTTGAGGTGGAGACGGAGACGCGGCCTTATTTTCTCAGGCCTTTGTCATCCTGCACGGCCATCTGTCTTTGTCACCCTGCTCATACTAACCCAAGCCGCCGCCGCCGCTTTCATCCCTCAACTTATTACCGTACGAGCCTCTGCTCATACATCACCGCAGCTGGCAGGAAGCTGCTACCTCACCCCTCCCTCTGTCCTCATTTCTCTCCTCTTTTCTTTACCTCGTCTCATGGCCGCCTTAAGTCTGATGTCCCTCCACCTGCTTGGCTCAGCTCAGCTTTTGTCCTTCCTCCTCCTCGCAGGCCCTCCAGGCGCTGCAGAGACAGCCGAATGCAGCCCAGTACTTCCAGCAGCTGATGCTGCAGCAGCAGATCAACAGCGCCCAGCTGCAGAATCTGGCTGCAGTGCAACAGGTGAAGGTGTGTTTGGGTGCAAGTCTTAAAGACGCGAGGAATGACGGTCAGTAAAAGCTGGGAGCTAAAGTCTGGGATGGGATGGGATGGGATGGAGTGGGCAGATGAGCTGGAATGTGAGAAATTGAAGGTTTGGTGACTAAAACCGAAGAGCCACGTCTTCATTCAGCCACATGACATCTGTGGGTCTGCTCTGTGTGGAGCTGATTGAAGCCTCAGCTTTCTCCTCTCCTCCGTTGCTCCACTCCAGGCGACTCTGGCGGCCAGCAGACAGTCCAGCCCCCCCAGCAGCAGCAGCAGCAGCAGCTCTTCTCAGACCACCAGCACCACATCTGTATGCTTTGTTGTTTCTGCATAAACCGTCTTTAGAACGTTCTCTAAACTAGAGCGGACTTGATGAAGTCACATCTTGTTGCTCTTCAGGCCAGTGTCACGTCTGGATCAGCTTCCACAACCAGCAGTCGTCCTCTAGGCGTTTCGGCGGCGTCCAGCATCAGTCAGTCGGTGCTGCTGAGCGGTACGGCAGGCCGGCAGGGACAAATGTACCTGAGGGTGAGTTTCTCTGCTCGTTTGTGACCTCCGCTTAAGTTTCTGTCCATTTAGCGACCGCGCGTTTGTCCTGCAGGTCAACCGAACCCTGAGGAACCCCATCTCCTCCCAGCTCATCTTCATGCCCGGTAGCGCAGCAACCGCTGCCGTGGCAACCGTCACCCAGCAGCCACAGGAAGTGCCTCCAGCATCCTCCTCCAGCAGCCAGTTGGATAACGACCAGGTGTGTGGAGGGTCTTGGTGCAGAAAGGTTTTAATGTGTCTTTACTCAGATGTTTCCGGTGTTGTTTTTGTTTGTTTTCAGGTGCAGAATCTCGCCCTGAGAGGCGTCTCGAGTCCAAAAGGTGTCAAAACTGAAGCCCCAGAGAAGAGTGACTCTGGTAGAGGAGACAAGATTCAAACCAGCAGCTTTTGGCCCGTTGAATCGTCTCTTAACTGAAGCTTTGTGTCGTTTTTTTTTCCCCAGCTGCCTACTCTCTGGTTCAGCCGTCCCACCACTTAGCCTCCCAGTCCCCCACTAAACCAAACCCACAACCACCACACATCAAAATCCCCACCTACCCCCAGCCTGCTAACCTCAAAGCCCACCCCTCCTCTTCCTCCGGTGTGTCCTCCACCTCCTCCATTCCTCTCTCCCAGCTCTTGCTCCACGGAACGCGGACCCTGACCACAGGAGCCGCGGCCCCCACCCTGGTCCTGACGTCCAACGCTACATCTCAACCCCACGGATACCCGGTAGGCACGGCAACCATCAAACCAGCTGTGAACACCCAGACTCTGGTGGTGCAGCCGCTGCAGAAGTCTTCGCTTGGCGCCGAGAAGCCGGGCCACGCGAACGGACCCGTTCCCATCCAGCCCAAAACGCTGCAGGGGCTCCGCCTCCCTCTTCAGGTGCCTTCTAGGAACCCTCCTCCCATCCTTCCTGCCCCAACACCCACCAGCAGCTCTAACCACCCCACCCAGCCTCCGCACATCCCTGTTCAGATAGTGGGGGCCAGGCAGAGCACGCTGGGGGGGGCCCAGGCTCTCGCCCTGGCCCGGGGGAGCTGCAGCCAGGAAGGAGCCGCCGTCCTCAGCAGTTCGTCCAGCCTGCTCACCATGGTGGCCTCCATCGCCTCCAGGGAGGGCGGGGTGGCTGGCCGAGGGGTGGGGCTTAAGACACTTCAGACTCCCCAGGAGGCTCCCCCGCTGGCCCAGGCGTCTCGGGTGCACCCACAGGCCAGTCAGAGCTCCGCCCAGAGTCAGAACGGCGCTTTGGCGCCAAGCTCAACTTTCTCTCAGTCCAAAGCCATTTCCTGTCCTCCCCCCTCGCAGCCTCGCGCCACACAGTCCCTCCCACAGGTGGCGGAGGAGCAGAGAGGAGCGCCAGCAGTAACGGCCAACGGGGACGCGCCGGGACGGCAGACGCCACAGGTCAGCTGCTCTCTAATTAACCAATCGGTGTCTTTTAAACACTTTTCAGGTAAAACGGGGATGTTCATCATTCTGCCTCATGCAAAAAACACCGAACATGTTTTTGATTCATTCATTCATTTTTGATCAGGGGAAGCAGACGAGCACCTCCCTGAAGCGAAAATCTGACTCCAGCGCCGTGAATGATGAAGATGGGCCGACTCCTCCTCAGCTCCAGCCGCTCAGAGACCCCCCCTCAGCATCTCCAACCAATCCTGTCGGTGCAGGTAGCAAAAAAAAACAAAAACATGTTTCTTTAAGAGTAAAAAATCACAATTAAATGTTTGACTAAATCCTCTTTTGGCTCCTCAGGCTCTGCTTCTCCTCCTGCCTCCTCTTCGCCCACGCCGGCGCTCTCGGTGTCCCGCGGGGCCTGCGCTCAGGGGGAAAGAGCTTCGCCTCCTCAAGCCGTTGTTAAACCGCAGGTCCTCACACACCTGATAGAAGGATTTGTCATCCAGGAAGGAGCGGAGCCTTTCCCCGTGAGTAAACGCCGTTTCTCCACCTTCACCATCAGACGTTTGTTTAGAAACGGCTCTGACGTGTCGCCGGTTCCGCTCTCAGACATGCGGTCCCATTAAGGACTCGGCTGGAGAGGATCTGACAGACGACAGTCCGGAGGAAACTAGCCCATCGGAAACGGTTACCACGGCAACAGGTATGGCCCAAACAGCTCAGAGAGCTTTGCTGTTTCCTGGAAACATACAAGAAATTCTTTTGATTTCGAAGCTTTTTTTTTTAAATAACTAGCAAGATCATGAACGTAATTTTGGGGGGGGACAGGGGGACATGTCCCCCCCCCACTTTTTCCAAAGTCAAGTTTTGACCCCTGCACACTTTTTACCATCTAAAACCAACATTACGCTATATTAAATGGACACTGGTTGAGCTCTAGGACCACGTGGAAAACAACAGTTTTTGTTGAAGCCTGTTTCCCTTTAGAACATACTGTAAAGATACCCCCCCCCCCACTTCTAAAGTGAAAATTACGTCCATGAGCAAGATTATAACATTCAGAGCTCTTAAAAGTAAAACTGATAAATCCTGATTTTGAGGGGAGTTTAGGCTCTGAACACATTAAAATAGATTTCACATGTTCTCCACAGGGGGTCCACAGTAAAGTATTTCAGTGTCATGTTTTTACTAAATAGTGAAAAAAAAGCATGCATTTATGTTGCGAGTTGATGCAAATGTGCACGAGAGCAAATAACGTGCAAAGAATTAAATTCTATAGACGTCAACATAAAATATTCTTGACTAATTCAAGTTTTATTTTAGATTTGTGTTTATTTTTGCGTCCCGCAGTCATTGCTTATCGCTGCTTAGCAGCTCATGAACTGGAAATTAAAATCTGATTTCAAGAGTTTCAGACCAGCGGATCACAGATTATTTAGGACTATGTGGAAAAATGGCCGTCTCAGTCGTTCCTCCATGTTTTTGGTGCATTTCCACAGTTTGAATGAGAAGGTTTTTTACGGTGATGGAAAACATCGAGATTTCTGTCGGCTCATAACAACAACAAAACAAACAGTCCTTGAAGCTGATTTGGTTGCAGAGAAAAGCTTCAAACCCGTTTAAGTTTGATGTATTTTTCCTCTCTGGTGCTACTGGAATATCTTTGTGTTGGACACCGTTTCCTGACTGTCCTCTCTTTATTTTATCTTCAGTGCTGAAGTGTGAGTACTGCAAAAACTTTGCCCCCGCCAGCCAGTTCCGGGGCACCAAAAGGTTCTGCTCCATGTCTTGTGCCAAGAGGTACTTCGCAAGCATGAAACTGTGATAAATGATGAACGCCACCTTAGATCGTCCCTCTGATCTGAGGTGCTGAAGCCACCAAATATTTCACACAACTGTTCACAGAGCATTTTTCACTTTTTAGCACGGAGTCGTTTGGGTTTGGTTTTAGCAGAAAAACCTGACACACACTTAAATATGAGGTTAACTCAAGGGCTGCGCAACATTGGGGAAAAACTCTTGTGATGTCGGCGGCGGCGGCGGCTTCCTCCGCTTATCCGGGTCCGGGTCGCGGGGGCAGCATCCCAACTAGGGAGCTCCAGACCGTCCTCTCCCCGGCCACCTCCACCAGCTCCTCCGGCAGGACCCCAAGGCGTTCCCGGACCAGATTGGAGATGTAAACTCTCCAACGTGTCCTGGGTCGACCCGGGGGCCTCCTGCCGGCAGGACATGCCCGAAACTCCTCCCCAGGGAGGCGTCCAGGAGGCATCCTGACCAGATGCCCAAACCACCTCAACTGACTCCTTTCGATCCGGAGGAGCAGCGGTTCTACTCCGAGTCCCTCCCGAATGTCCGAGCTCCTCACCCTATCTCTAAGGCTGAGCCCGGCCACCCTACGGAGGAAACTCATTTCGGCCGCTTGTATCCGCGATCTCGTTCTTTCGGTCATTACCCAAAGCTCATGACCATAGGTGAGGATTGGGACGCAGATCGACCGGTAAATCGAGAGCCTGGCTTTCTGGCTCAGCTCCCTCTTCACGACAGATCGGCTCAGTGTCCGCATCACTGCAGACGCCGAACCGATCCGCCTGTCGATCTCCCAATCCCTCCTACCCTCACTCGTGAACAAGACCCCGAGATACTTAAACTCCTCCACTTGAGGTAGGACCTCTCCCCCGACCCGGAGTTAGCAAGCCACCCTTTCCCGGTCGAGAACCATGGTCTCAGATTTGGAGGTGCTGATCCTCATCCCAGCCGCTTCACACTCGGCCGCGAACCTACCCAGCAAGAGCTGAAGGTCAGAGCTGGATGAAGCTAGGAGGACCACATCATCCGCAAAAAGCAGAGACGAGATTCTGCTGCCACCAAACTCGACACACTCCACACCACGGCTGTGCCTAGAAATTCTGTCCATAAAGGTAATGAACAGAACCGGTGACAAAGGGCAGTCCTGGCAGAGTCCAACCCTCACCAGGAACAGGTCCGACTTACTACCGGCTATGCGGACCAAACTCACGCTCCTCTGGTAAAGGGACTGAATGGTCCTTAACAGAAAGCCACCCACCCCATACTCCTGGAGCGTCCCCCACAGGGTGCCCCTGGGGACACGGTCATAAGCCTTCTCCAAATCCACAAAGCACATGTGGATGGTTGGGCAAACTCCCATTCCCCCTCCATCACCCTTGCAAGGGTATAGAGCTGGTCCACAGTTCCACGGCCAGGACGAAAACCACATTGCTCCTCCTCTATCTGAGATTCAACTATCGATCTTGTGATGTTAATTTTCAACCAATCCTCATGTAACCCTCAGATCTCTATTAAGGTAGCGCGACTCAGGGTTGCGAATGACCACAGTCACCAATTCTTGTCATGTGTCTTTGCCCATGTATGTCTGATCTCTGAATCGTGTGTACTGAAACTCTTAATTCCCCTCTGGGATTCATAAAGTATCTTTGAATTTGAACGAGCAGCTATTAAACCTGGCCTGAGATTGCAACCTAAGATGGCAAATCAGATCCAGCAGAGAGAACCGCATGGGTCACCGAAGGGGCCAAAACATCCAAGCGGTAAAACCTCACAAAGGTGTGGGGTGTAGCCCAGCTTGCAGCTGAGCAAATGTCACCAACTGAAACACCCTTAAACATCGCCCAAGAAGCAGCCACACCTCTAGTAGCGTGTGCCCTGACCCCCAGGGGCAGCTGGGAGCCGGTGACACTGTGACAAAGCCTTACCCATGGAGGGTTTGGCAAAACACACAAACAGTTGGTCTGTTTTTCTGATACTCCGAGTGCGATTTATATAAGCCTGCAGAGCACGAACCGTGCAGGTGGAGAAGCGGGCCAGTCCACCTCTAGCCTCCCCGCTGCATGCCAGCAGAGCGGGAGAAAAGAAGTGTCATTTCGCAGCTCGGAGGCTGAAGTAGCGGCCGGAGCTGAAGACTCCACCTCCGAGAGGACCTCCTCATCCTCGAGCAAGTCCTGACCGTCGGGGCAAATGTCCAAAATGTCTCCTTCATCCTCTGCCAGAGGAGGAAACTGAGAAGCCTCTAGGTCTGGTCCGGTTAAATTGTCCGCCATCTCCATCTGATCTGCCCAGCTAGTAGCAGGTACATCGATCACTAGGCTGTCCACGTCAGAGCCGGGCGAAGCCGGGGCCAAACGGGAAAGCATGGGGTCCTGCTAAGAGACTGCAGCGCCTCCCAGGAGATGTAGGAGCTTCATGCGCCGTTCGAGCGTGGGACGGTGGAGTCGGCGACAGAACTTGCACGCCTCCGGGTCCACAAGCGCTCTCCTGGCGTGGAGAATTCCCTGGCAAACCGGGCAAGCTTCGTGTAGGTCCTTCTCGTGAAGAGAGAATCCACAGCCCTGAGGACAAGGGCGCGAAGCGGCGTTCCGTGAAGCCACGTCCAACACGGTGCTCGTTGCGAGACACACAGCAGAGCGAAGTGGAGAAGCTGAAGAGCCACAAAAGATGGCGCTCGGTGGGCAGGAATGCTAGCCAGAAGGCAGCAGAGTCCAGTCAGCGAGCGGTTAAGCTATCTTTCAATAGCGCAGCTAGTTGTCAGATGTGTTCTCAGCGAGGTGAAGCGCGTAAGAACTGAGGAATGACAGCGACGCGGTCGCTTATAAGTGGAGGGCGGGGCCTCCACGCAGCGTCACTTTCATTTGCCTTACAGGCGTGATTAAATGTGTCTTCAGCCAGGCCACACTAGGGCGTGATGTCCCATGGTACCTTCGTTGTACCGAGTGAATTGACTGAAATGGAACTTGTAGCTTTTCGGCGAAAATCGCAGTTTTTGAAGCCAAGTGTGGCGTTTACGTGAATCGTGTAGATCTGAAGAGTTTATGGTTTTGGGGGGGGGGGGGGGGGGGGTCAGTCACTCTCATGAGAATCAACTTAGAGTAAGGAGGGAGGACTCCTTGTTCACACGTTAGTCACGTGTCGTCTTTGACCAATCCCACTCAGAGACGAGGCAGCAGCGGTACTCTCAGTGAGCGATCGCTGTCGCTTTAACTTCTCACAGCGGTTTAGAGCTCAGCGTTCATCAAACCGAACAAAATTGCCACTAAATGACGGTTTTCTGTTGAGGACTTGACTTTTTCTAAATGTTTCCAGAGGCTCGTTGTGTTTTTTCTTTTATTGAAGTAGAGTTCGTAGTAAACACAGCCAGTATTTAACTCCGATAAAACCTAATATTAGTAACATAAATACTTTTATCTGGTCAGAAATGGCCGCCAGTATGCTACAGCCTGACTCATTTAGAACATGTATTGATCTGGGCACCGGAAGATTTTAGGATGCCGGAGGAGAAACTAGTGACGAGAAAGTTTCTTAACATTTCTGCTGCATTAGAGAGTCAGAACAGCAGTTTGCCTTTCTGAACCATCATGCCTCACAACAATAACCTCTTAGGGGTGATTACAGCATCCTCCGAGTTTGCAGGTGTGATCTTACCTGCTCAAACAGGTGAAGGGTTATGTCACTTCCTCGGCTGAGGCTAAACCTTTGACAGTTGGCTGCCAGGTCAAAAGTTCCTCCCCCTAATCTCACGTGTGTAGCTCAAACTAATCCCAGCGACGTTTGTTGTTCATTGACGCATCAAATAGCCTAAGAAGTTTGGAAGTCTATGAAACTTCCCATAACCAATTCCTCATCTGTTTCCACAATGCTGGAGGAGGATTTTTGGGCCGCTGTGTGTCGGGTATCCTTAATTCTGGAGAACACATGGAGTTGGCGTTGTGTCGGCGCTAAAACATAACGCCGTGCAGCTCTAATTCAATCTAAACTCTGCCTGTTACTAAGACTCAGCGACAGATGTGTGGAACATCTGGTGGTTCCAGCTGTTTGTTTCGCAGCATGAATATTTTCTGTTTAAAATAATCACCGTTTGTTACGTTTCTTTTGAAATGATGCCAGTCTTTGTGCTCCGTGTTATCTGTTGTGTTTATGACATCATATGTTTTCTAATCAATGGTTGCATTGCTTAAAAGTGAACATATGATATTGTTTTGCTTTTGTCTCTTTGCTGACGGAGTGTGTGTGTGTGTGTGTTTAGTTTATGCTCCATATGTGCTGCAAAGGGACAAAACTGTGTGTGTTGCTCGTCCAGGCTCCAGTACCGTATATGTCACTCGTTGTCTACGATACAGTATGTATTGGTTCCCCAGGTACAACGTCAGCTTCAGACAGCACTACTCTGTGAGGCAGCGCCACAGCCAGCGTCGGGATCGGGATCACCTCTCGAACTCGGACGACGACGGCGGGATCGCCAGGAGGAGAGTTCCTCGCAGGACTAGCTCCGAGATAGCCAGCGCAAAGATAGCAGGAAGACCCATTCCTGCAAAGGTGAGAAGGTTTCTGTAAAACTTTAATTATTGGCTTTGTGCTGCTGGAAAAGATCGATGATTTGACCGGGAAGATGAAACAAACGCTTGTGGGACTAACCCCGGCTTTCGTGTGTCTGAGAGGCACATTACACCGCTGATGGCCGCCCTTACCCAGACTTCCCAGTCGACGCTTAAGCAGCGCGTTACTGATTAGGCATGTTGTCGCTGGGAGCTCAGCAGTGCATCCCTTCCCACCGAGAGCATTTCAGACGTGCTTCGGCAGCAAAAGCGTTCCACAGCTGGTCCCGTGAGGTCACAGATTCACTGGAGAATTGCCAGATCAAGCGTGATTTCGGAGGTTCACGTGATAACTAGCAAGGAGAAGAAGGAGCAGTATGACTAGAAGAAGGAAAAGCAGGAAGTGTGTCTCTGTAGACCAGGACATCAAGTTGAAGCAAGAATCTTTGTCTGACAAATTTTTCTATGTCTGATTGGGCCTTTCCACCGGATGCAGAAGCGTTACGTAAAGCAAAGGCAGCTAATGATCACGTACTGTGCTTCACGAATGTTGCACAATGCTAACGCATCCAGTGGCAATGCCCGGTCGGCCCTGCTCACAAAAATTTGTCAGACAAACATTCTTGCTTCAAGTTGACATCCTGGTCTACAGAGACGAACGTCCAGCTCGTGGTCTACAGGGACGAACGTCCCGTTCCTGGTCTACAGGGACGAACGTCCCGTTCCTGGTCTACAGGGACGAACGTCCGATTCCTGGTCTACAGGGACGAACGTCCGGTTCCTGGTCTACAGGGACGAACGTCCGGTTCCTGGTCTACGGAGACGAACGTCCGGTTCCTGGTCTACGGAGACGAACGTCCGGTTCCTGGTTTACAGGGACGAACGTCCGGTTCCTGGTCTGCAGGGACGAACGTCCGGTTCCTGGTCTACGGAGACGAACGTCCGGTTCCTGGTTTACAGGGACGAACGTCCGGTTCCTGGTCTGCAGGGACGATCGTCCGGTTCCTGGTTTACAGGGATGAACGTCCGGTTCCTGGTTTACAGGGACGAACGTCCGGTTCCTGGTTTACAGGGATGAACGTCTGGTTCCTGGTTTACAGGGACGAACGTCCGGTTCCTTGTTTACAGGGACGAACGTCCCGTTCCTGGTCTACAGGGACGAACGTCCGATTCCTGGTCTACAGGGACGAACGTCCGGTTCCTGGTCTACGGAGACGAACGTCCGGTTCCTGGTTTACAGGGACGAACGTCCGGTTCCTGGTCTGCAGGGACGATCGTCCGGTTCCTGGTTTACAGGGACGAACGTCCGGTTCCTGGTCTACGGAGACGAACGTCCGGTTCCTGGTTTACAGGGACGAACGTCCGGTTCCTGGTCTGCAGGGACGATCGTCCGGTTCCTGGTTTACAGGGATGAACGTCCGGTTCCTGGTTTACAGGGACGATCGTCCGGTTCCTGGTTTACAGGGACGAACGTCCGGTTCCTGGTTTACAGGGATGAACGTCCGGTTCCTGGTTTACAGGGACGAACGTCCGGTTCCTTGTTTACAGGGACGAACGTCCGGTTCCTGGTTTACAGGGACGAACGTCCGGTTCCTGGTCTACAGGGACGAACGTCCGGTTCCTGGTCTACAGGGACGAACGTCCGGTTCCTGGTCTACAGGGACGAACGTCCGGTTCCTGGTCTACAGGGACGAACGTCCGGTTCCTGGTCTACGGAGACGAACGTCCGGTTCCTGGTCTACGGAGACGAACGTCCGGTTCCTGGTCTACGGAGACGAACGTCCGGTTCCTGGTCTACGGAGACGAACGTCCGGTTCCTGGTCTACGGAGACGAACGTCCGGTTCCTGGTCTACGGAGACGAACGTCCGGTTCCTGGTTTACAGGGACGAACGTCCGGTTCCTGGTCTGCAGGGACGAACGTCCGGTTCCTGGTCTGCAGGGACGAACGTCCGGTTCCTGGTTTACAGGGACGAACGTCCGGTTCCTGGTTTACAGGGACGAACGTCCGGTTCCTGGTTTACAGGGACGAACGTCCGGTTCCTGGTTTACAGGGACGAACGTCCGGTTCCTGGTTTACAGGGACGAACGTCCGGTTCCTGGTTTACAGGGACGAACGTCCGGTTCCTGGTTTACAGGGACGAACGTCCGGTTCCTGGTCTACGGAGACGAACGTCCGGTTCCTGGTTTACAGGGATGAACGTCCGGTTCGTGGTCTACGGAGACGAACGTCCGGTTCCTGGTCTACGGAGACGAACGTCCGGTTCCTGGTCTACGGAGACGAACGTCCGGTTCCTGGTCTACGGAGACGAACGTCCGGTTCCTGGTCTACGGAGACGAACGTCCGGTTCCTGGTCTACGGGGACGAACGTCCGGTTCCTGGTCTACGGGGACG